ATACTAAAATTAGCAACGAAAATTAAAAATAATAATAGCAATAATAAGACTAAGAAAATGAAAAAATAACAACAAAAATATGCGCCACATGTTTTCCTTGACAATCTCATTCCTGTCGTGAGATCAAAGCCGTGGCCGCGGGAATCCAACGTCAGAACGGCTTACTTGAACCGACGTGTTATGACGTGTTGCGACGTGTTATGACGTGTTGCGACGTGTTATGACGTGTCCAAGAAGTGATCGGTCCCACGTGCGATGGTGCTGATGCTGTTGTTGGTAGTGGTTTATATCTGTCTATTTATCTATCTTTTTTTCTATCTTTCTATCTATTCATCTGTCTATCTTTGTTATCTGTCTATCTGTTCATCTGTCTATCTATTCATCTATCTATCTATCTATCTGTTCATCTATCTATCTTTCTATCTATTCATCTATCTATTTTCCATTTATATTTGGATCTATCTATCGATTCATCAATCAATCCAGTATAAATATCTACCTATATCTCTATCTATCTCTCTATCTATCCTATCTATAAGTGCGCTAAGCAAAAATACAGACACTGTAACACGTACATGCTCGTAAGTGGAACTGTGCAACGACTGCGACCGAGGAGGAACTCACGGGTTCGAAACGTTGTTTTATTTTGGTCCTCTTGTGGCAGTTTCATCATATAGATAGATAGATACGTAGATATAAAGATATGTGCATGTTTATATGTATATATGTATATATATATGTATATGTATGTATATATATATATATATATATATATAATTATATATATATATATATAATATATATAATGTATGTATGTATGTATGTATGTATGTATATATACTATATATAATATATATATACATACATACATATATATATACATATATATATATATATATATATTATATATATATATATATGTGTGTGTGGGTGTGGGTGTGTGTGTGTGTCTGTGTGTGTGCGTGTGTTAGTGCGTGTGGTAGAAAAAAAACACAATTCGCAGACTAGATTTATTGGCATCATAAGCAGACAAACGTGAAAACAGACAGGTGTACTCAGACTGATTGTGAAAACAGACAGGTGTTGTAGGAAGACAAAAGGTCAGAAGAGACAGGTGTTGTAAGCAGATAGATTATGGAAACAGACAGATGTTGTAAGCGGACATACGGTGAAAATAGACAGGTATTATAAGCTGCTGGCTATTTTCAGCTTGAACAGCAGCCGACAGTTATATATATATATATATATATATATATATATATAATATATATATATATATATATATATATATATATATATATATATATATATATATATATTTACATTTATATTATATATATATTTATATATATATACAGTCTATATATATATATATATATATATATATATATATTATATATATATATATATATATGTACACAAATATATATACATATATACAGTATATACATATATGTGTACGTATCTGTGTGTGTGTGTGTGGTGTGTGTGTGTGTGTGTGTGTGTGTGTTGTGTGTGTGTGTGTGTGTGTGTGTGTGTTGTGTGGTTGTGTGTTCATTATAACATATATATAATATATATATATATATATATATATATATTTATATAATATATATACATTTATATATATACACACATACACACACATCACACACACACACACACACACACACACACACACACACCACACACACACACACACACACACACACACACACACACACACACACACACACAACACACATACACACAATTATATATATATATATTATATAATATATATATATATATACTCGTGTATATATATATATATATATTATATATATATATATATATATATATATAATATACATGTGTGTGTGTCTGTGTGTGCGCATGCGTGTATTCCGTGCGTACGTACCGGCAACCAAGGTCTATAAAGTAATTATACAGACCTTGCATGCAAACACACATCCATGTCCACGCGTAAACACCATTCCACACGCGCCTCCCTTCGCATTTCTTTCCCTCCTTTTCTCACGTAATTTCATCCCCGCTGAGCAACACCTCGGGCCTCCGCGCTGGAAAATCGATATTTCAACCCTGGCCTAATCTTTGAATGGGGCGTCAACTCTGATGCACTTGATATCTCATTATTCCATTACCCTGGTGCCTAATGACGGCAGGTGCGGCATAAAGGCTTTTGTGTAGAGGGCGCGAGCTTAAATAAAATATAAGGTTAAAAAAAATACTTTTGTTTGTCTCTCTCTCTCTCTTTTCTCTCTCGTATTGTCTGGTTTAGGTGTAGGTTCTCTAGTTTTCATTTATTTTTTGCGTGTTGAATGTCTGTGTGTGTGAGCGCGCGTGTGGCATAAAGCCTTTTGTATAGAGAGTACAAGCTTAAATATATATATATACACACACATAACAAAAACGAGTTTTATTCTACATTATAAACTTATAATAAAACAGATAATTAGTAACCCGCGTGGTAAAAAAAAAAATCCTCTATTGTTATTCCGCGAAAAAAGAAAAGTTTTTTACGATATTTTCTTCTTTCTAATTAGTTATTGATTATCTACCTGCTTGATCCTAATGAGCTTGCCAGGGGCCTGCTACCTGCTCAGAAACCCGTGATATATAGCAATGTTTTCTTGTTTTTTTCTTTCCTTTTTTTCAGATCATCTCTTCAATTTCATTATCGCGGAACCGTAACTGAAACTGGAATTAATTTAACCCCGCGCTCATTCGCGCAGATGCGTACAATACTTATGATTCGCGTGAGTTAATAAGGAAAATTCGTGTGGATTTTTTTTCAGATTTTCTAGTATATACATTTTTCTTTTTTATCTCACGTGTTGAATGCAGTGTGTGTGTGTGTGTGTGTGTGTGTGTGTGTGTGTGTGTGTGTGTGTGTGTGTGTGTGTGTGTGTGTGTGTGTGTGTGTGTGTGTGTGTGTGTGTGTGTGTGTGTGGTGTGTGTGTGTGTGTGTGTGTGTGTGTGTGTGTGTGTGTGTGTGTGTGATGTGTGTGTGTATGTGTGTGTGTATGTGTGTGTGTATGTGTGTGTGTGTGTGTGTGTGTGTGTGTGTGTGTGTGTGTGTGTGTATGTGTGTGTGTGTGTGTGTGTGTGTGTGTGTGTGTGTGTGTGTGTGTGTGTGTGTGTGTGTGTGTGTGTGTGTGTGTGTGTGTGTGTGTGTGTGTGTGTGTGTGTGTGCACGCGCGCACATGTGTGTGCAAGTACGTGTGCACATACATATGTATGTGTGTATGCCTTTTTTTCGTGTATTTATAACTCCTTATGTACATTTCCATCCCTATCTCGTGGCTTAGCACTGTCTGTGTCGATTTCCTGAATGCATAAACTGATCATAAATTTTAAACTGATGCTAAAGATTAAGCATAGGTCAAGGGTCACAGAAATATTATTTATTCACAATTAATGAACTTAGCTGTTAGAGAATGGTCATAATGAAGATAATGATAATGTCAATAATTAAGATAGGACGAGGATGATGATGATGATAATAAAATAAGAAGTGGTAATATTGATCTTAATAAGAATGATGATAATGATGATGATTAAAGATGACAGTGATAATAAAGATGACAATGATACTACTGCTATTGCTATCAATAATAATGATGATAAGAGACATTATAATAATATTGATATTAATGATAATAAAAATCATAATAATAATGATATTAATGATGATAATAGTAATATCATATATATTATTATATCATATTATAATATAATGATAATAGTGATGATAATATCATCATCATTGTCATTACTACTATTATCATTATCATCAATGTATTATTTTTATGATTATCATTATCATCATTTCAATTGTTATAATTTAACAATAATCATTATTATCACTATCATTATTACTACTGTTATTATAATCACAATCATTCTTATCAACAATATTATTATCATTATTATAATTACTATTATTATTATTATCGTTATCATATCATTATTATCATTATTAATTATCAGTATAATTATATCATTACTATAATCATTATATTATCATTATTACTTTATTGTAAAACACAGTAATCACACAAAAAATGTGTTCATCATTTAAAGCTGAACACGTACATTTCTTCCAGTGCTTGTATGTATGTCTACATTTCTGTGTATGTGTACTTTTATAAGTGTGCAGAGATGGCATGTTGCTTGGTTGTGCCAGTGGTTGCATGTGTGTATGTGTGGTTATGTATGAGTCATCTCAATGTATATATAGTTTTAAAAAGTCATAGACTGATGTACCTATCACAGGGAGAATAAATAGTAATAAATAATTATTACCTGTTAGGGTTATCTTAACTCATAGCTTTTGGGTTATTGTACTATTGACTAGTTTTTTGTGAATTTTATTTGCAGATAAATGGTTTCACAAATGCTCAAAATTAGTACACCTTACACAACCTCCCCTATTTTCCCTTTCCTTGATAAAAAAAAAAAAACATTACTATGAATATTGATTTTACTATTGTTATTAATGTTATAATGTTATGAGCAAGGTTAATAGCATTGAAATATATATATATAATATATATATATATATATATATATATATATAATATATATATATATATATATATATATATATATATACATATATAATAGTCAAGTCAAGGAAATAGGTAAACAGGAGAGATAAAACTTAACACCTCGATGATTAAGCACTTGTGGAGCCATTTAAGTGTAAAGACAATCAATAAGAAACACACACACACACAC